GTCAGGTAGGTAGTCAATACAGTGGAAGCCCAGGCCAAGAAACACCCTGCTTGCCTCCAGGGTGCCCCGGGTTTCTTCAGTTTCGATGGTTTTTGCCATGGAGAGCGTGACGTTTCCACACCACAAATCGGTGGACGTCCTGGGGTCCCAGGGTTGGCTTTCTTGTGGAAGGTTTCTTGTGGTCGAGCTCCTATTGTATGCTCGTTCATGCTTCCATGGGACGAGATACGACGGGGGCGAGCGTTAAGGAACGTGCTCAGGCGGCTTCAGAACCTGGACGGTTCATTATCTGAGGAGGGCGGCGGCGACATCCGTGGCCAATCCACGATTGGAGTTCCACTGGCTTGCGGGCCCTGGATTCTTTACCCAATGGTCCCTTCTGCCGATGGGCCGGCGAACGTGCCTAAAGGCGCGCAGCCGTGACCGCTGCGCGCCGTGTTGCGCGGGCCCTAGCGGATTCGCGCTGGCAGCACGCGCGCGTGGCCGCTTTGCCAAAAGGATCACTTTATCCTTCCTCCGTCCTGGTCCTCCACTTCCTCATCTCTCTCCTCTCTCCTCTTGGGTTTAGTGCGCACGCGTCTGCACGTAACCCTTCATCCAATGCCCTCACCGCGCAATCAGCCACGACACCATTGGTAACACCCAGGTGTGTCTGCCAGCCCCTACGCCCAGGCAGCCCAGCCAGGCCGGGCTACAGCTCCGACCTCAGGAATGCTCCTCCACGTTTGGTGGGGGTGTTCCCGGAACTCCTTGGATGCTTCTCTGGAAGCAGCCACTGGAAGCAGCCACCCCCCACAGCAACCCAGTCTGCAGCCCAGGCGCTGACGTCCGCCCAGGCATGCTCGCGTCGTAGAATATAAGGAAGCGCCACGGGAGGTCGTCCTTGGCCATCTTCGGACTCCATAGGGCCCCTCGCCAGGCCTCGGGACCGTCACGAGCCGACTCGCGAGGAAAAACCGGGCCCGGGGAAAGGGTCGGCTCCTCCTCCTCCTCCTCCTCCTCCTCCTCCTCCTCCTCCTCCTCCTCCTGCTCCTCCTCCTTTTCCTCTCGGGGAATGGGCCGTGATTTCAGAGGCCCCATATCATGGAAAACATTTGTGGCTGAGGCTCGCCGTGGCCACCATGAAACCCCCTCCCCTCACTCCGGATCTGCCGTACTTTGGGCGCGCGGGAAGTTCAAGCTGATTTGATGTTTTTTTCTGCCTTATTGAATCGCTTCGCTCATTCCGCCGGCCCATACGGTCTCATGTCTGCCGTTTGCCCGAGGGCCTGGTGTCAATGCGGCGCTTTGGGGGTTCCTGGGGCCGCTTGGGGGACTCCTGGGGCGCTCGGGGGGGCATTTGGGGGGCCTCCTGGGGCCGCTTGGGGGACTCTTGGGGGCCTCCTGAGGGCCTCGTGGGGGCCTCTTGGGGCCTCTTAGGGGCCTCGGGGCCTCGTAGGGGCTTCTTAGGGCCGAGGGCGCGAAATTTTGTTTCGTGTTCCCTCTCTGGGGCCCCTTTGGGGGTGTTCTTGGGGCCCTCTTGGACCGTCTTGGAGGCTTCTTGGGCCGTCTTCGAGCCCTCTTGGGCCATCTTGGGGCCCTCTTGGGGGCCTCTTGGGCCCTCTTGGGGCGATCTTGGGGGCCTCTGGGGCCGTCTTGGGGCGTCGGGAACCGAAAAGGTGGAAGCTCCAAAATCTCTCAAAAACCTAAGGAAAAACAATGAATTTTGCCTCCGGGGGCCCTCTTGGGAGTGCTCTGGGAGGCCTCTTGGGGCGTCTGGGGGCTATCTTGGGCGTCTTGGAGCGATCTTGTGGTATGTCGGACCCCTCGTGTACCATCTTGGGGGCCTCTTTGCCTTTCTTGGGGCTCTCGGGGACGTCTCGGAGCCCTGTTGGTGCGCTCATGGAGCGCTCCTGGAGCGCTCTGGGGGACTCCTCCCGGGACTCTCTCAGGACCTTGCCGGGGTACTTTTCGTCCGGGGACCCCCAGGGGCCGCCCCGCGCGCGCGAACTAGAGAATTCTTAACCAGTTACCGGAGATCTTAGCACGCCTCTGGCCCGTTGGGCCGGCGAATTTTCCGCCGATGTGTCCGCCATACCTTTGCGTGTCCGCCTTACTTGCCTGAGGCGGAAAGCATACGTCCTGCAATCGAGTTTGATTCGTAGGTCGACACTGCCAAATCAAGGGTACTTTTGTGTCCTGTGTGTTCGCGCCACGTGTCCTCTGCATTCCTGGGACCATGTGGCCCTCGGAAGGGGCATGTGTCCTCCCGCGTGCCCTCTCCAACCAAACCTCGACCGTACTCTTGCCGCACCCTTTTGGGGTGCATTTCTGACACAAGCAACAGTCGGTCTACCAGTCGACGTCAGATCCGAAGAAGGTCCTTCTTCGTTCAGCCAAGTCACCCCGGGAGCGCGCGCCTAGATAATCGCGCGCTTTGCGCCGCGGCCCGGGCCCAGGCGGCCACCCTTTTCCACGGGGGGGGGGCGGGGGAAGTGGGCGCCGCGAGGGCCGAGAGGGTGCGAGGTCGCTCGCGCGCCGCGGGGCGCGGTGCGCGGTGCGGGAAGCCACGGGTGGCCTGCCATTCGGCGTCCCCCCTGCGGCAGCACGATGGCCGAGCGGAGCGCGGGCGGCCGGCGGGCGCAGCACGGCCGGGCCCCAGAGGTCCGAGGCCTCGAGTGCCTCTCGGTGCGGGCCTCGGGGCCTCTTGGCCCCTGCCTCGGGACTGGCGACGGGCCCGCTCTCGGGGCCGGCTCTCCTCGGGGGCGGCACCCGGGGCCTTTTTCGGCGAGGGCGCCCCAGGGCCCGAAAGCTTCGCAGAGCCTTCGCCCGGAGGCCAGGCGAGTGGGCCAGCCTCCGCAGCGGCGCGGCGCCGGGAGGCGGGGCCGTGCCAGCCGCCTCACCGGAGGTGCTGGGCCACCCTCTCGGGCCGTCCCCTGGGTCCTCTCCTCGGGCCCTCCCCTCGGGCCCCCCTGGGGCCCAGAAGGGCCCCTCCCTCGGCCGCCGAGCAGCGGAGCGTCACGCTGAAACAAAGGAGGCCTGGCTCTGCGGGCGGGCGAGCGGCCAAGCAGAGGTGGGCGGCGGGCGGCTGGCGGGCGGACCAGCAGGGGCGGGCGAGGCGAGGGGCGCGGCGGACACCTCGGGCGGCCAGGCAGAAGCACGCCGGGAAGGAGCACGACGGGCGGGGCCGAGGCAGAGCGGGCTGAGCAAGAGGACGGCAAAGAGTTCCTCCTGTTCCTCCTCCTCCTCCTCCTGTTCCTCCTCCTTTCCTCCTCCTCCTCCTCCTCCTCCTCCTCCTCCTCCTCCTGCTCCTCCTATCTCCTCCTCCTCCTCTTCCTCCTCCTCCTCCTCCTCATCCTTTTTTCTTCTTCTCCTCTCCTCTCCTCCTCCTCTTCCTCCTCCTCCTGCTCTGCTCCTCCTCCTCCTCCTCCTCCTCCTCCTCCTCCTTCTCCTCCTCCTCCTCCTCCTCCTCCTCCTCCTCCTCCTCCTCCTCCTCCTCCTCCTCCTCCTCCTCCCCCTCCCCCTCCTCCTCCTCCTCCTCCCCCTCATCATCCCATCACCATCATCGCCATGAGCATCATCATCGTCACATCATCATCAGCAGCATCATCATGATACCCGAATCATCACATCATCATAATCCTCCCTTCTCCTCTTCTTCCTCCTCCTCCTTTCCGCCTCCTCCTTCCCCTCCTTCTCCTCCTCCTCCTTCTCCTCCTCGTCCTCCTCGTCCTCCCTCCTCCTCCTCCTCCTCCTGCTCCTCCGCCTCCTCCTCCTCCTCCTCCTCCTCTCCTCCTCCCCCTCCTCCTCCACCCTCCTCCTCCTCCCCTCCTCCTCCTCCTCCTCCTCCTCCCTCCTCCTCCTCCTCCTCCTCCTCCTCCTCCTCCTCCCCCTCCCCCCTCCCCCTCTCCTCCTCCTCCTCTCCTCCTCCTCCTCCTCCTCCTCCTCCTCCTCCTCCTCCTCCTCCTCCTCCTCCTCCTCCTCCTCCTCCCCTCCTCCTCCTCCTCCTTCCTCCCCTCCCCCGCCTCCTCCTCCACCTCCTCCTCCTCCTCCTCCTCCTCCTCCTCTCCTCCTCCTCCTCCTCCTCCTCCTCCTCCTCCTCCTCCTCCTCCCCCTTCTCCCCCTTCCCCTCCTCCTCCTCCTCCTTCTCCTCCTCCTCCTCCTCCTCCTTCTCCTCCTCCTCCTGCGCACACCTGAGGCGCCACAGAGTTATGACACCTCAGCCGTCGGTCGGCGTGGCTGAGGGCGCACCTTGCAACCGCCCTCAGCCACGCACATCGGACAAGGCCCGCGGTGGGCCACACTGCTGCCAGGGGCCTCCAGGCAGCACTGACTGCGCACGGCCAGACCGCCAGCGCGCAACGGGAGGGCTGTGCATGGCCAGAAGAAAGGTTTGGGGTACAGCACAAGCCCGTCAAACGTGAAAAGAAAAGGGGAAGAAGGAGGGCAGGCCGAGGGCCACGGGGCGATCTCCCTTACTGGGAGGATCCCCTATGGCCAACGGCATGCCCCCCAACACCCGACCCCACGGTGGGGTCGGGCTGTTCTGAACCATAATTATCGAGAGCATCGTGCAAAACGTGGGGAGGAGGGCGGCCGCTGGCAGCAGCCAGCAGCCGCTGAACAATAACAGCGCGCTCTGCTTCCGTGCGCTGCGTGCGCTGCTTGCGCGCAGGCGCAGCAGCTCTCGACCACACTCCTCCGCCCCCGCTCGACGACGTCGACGGAACGACACCTCCGTCCTCCACATGGGCTCCAGCACCGCCAGCTGATCGCTGCGGTGCCTCCGAGGGTTGGGCCATGCTGGCACCTTCACTGGCCGCGCCTGCCTCCAGCAGGAGTGCTGCCGATGCGCTGGCCGCCGCAGCAGGCGCAGGGATGCTATCTCCTCCCCCGCCGCTCAACAACGACGACACCTCAAGGCCTCCTTCCTCCGAGTTGGCGCCCGCGTCCGCACCAGACAGGTGGGATGCCCTCGAAGGTCGGGCCGAAACGTCAGCAGCAGCACTGTCGTCGCAAGCCTCCAGCTGGGAGGCGAGGGAAGAGTCGGCGGCGGCGGCCTCTACCAGCGGCGCCTGCGCTGCGACACGAAACACCTTCGCACCGAGGCGAAACTCGCCTTTGCCGAGCCGCTTGAGCACCTTCATGGCATGATCGGTGGCCGCAGGCGGGCACGGCTGGCTGAGAGCTGCGACACGAACAGCTGCGAAGTTGCCACAGCGCGCACAGCCCACAACCGTGGGACCTTCGCACCGCCAGCACGCGAGAGGCTACGTCGGATGGGGCGGGCTCACGCACAACAAAAAACCTTGGAAGACGCGGCTTGCCCCGATCGTGTCGCTTGGGGTGACCACAATCTTCGAGCCCCTCGCTGAGTCGGCCGATCCAGCCTCCCCAGGTCTTGACAACCTTAGAGCGGGCCTGCAGCTGAGCACGGTCCTGACGCGGTACCCTCGCATATGCAACAGCATTCTTAGCAGCACGGTCTGCCATCATATTGCCAAACTTGTGGCGTTCCGTGGCGCGCCCATGCTGGATGTCACCTACGGCCGCATGGCCTTTGACTTTCGAGAGCTCAAACCCGTCCCCCCAGTCATCCACTAACCGCCAAAACTCCCTCCAGAGGTGAGCGTGCGCAGCGACACAGGCAGTGGTGGCCACGACCACGCTCGTGGAAGCCATCCACAACAAAAGCAGAGTCCGAAAACATACGCACTGGCGGCGCTGCAAAGCGCAGCACATGGATGACAGCGATGGGCTCGGCAGCACTGATACACTGCAACGGGTCGAGCACAGGACCAGAGCAAAAAGAGACAACCTGAAGGCAATCGGGATGAAGCGCCACGCACCCCCAGCCCGCACTCGCGAGGCTGGGATGCTCAGCTTCAAATACCGATCCATCAGAGTAAATGTCACCCGTGAAGCTGTCAGGTCCTCCAAGCCCCCAGCACACTGGTCGCCCAGGTGGCGGCCTCGCAATTGCGGGAACAGGGACCAGACAGCGTTCAGCAAAGGCGAGGGCTAGCGGCGGGTGCGCTGCTCGCGCTACATTGGCACGAAACGCAGGGGCGCCCTCGAGGCTGTCGAGACGCGCACAAGAGCAGTGCCTGTGCAGCAGCGTGCCTTCGGCCTGATGGCAGAGCAGGCAGGCAGACGTGGTGTCATATCCCTCGGCCCACTGACGCTTCTGGGGCCACTGCCCCCCAACCACAGTGCTTCGTAGGTGGCCTCTCTGCTGGGCCGTGAGCTTACTCTTGTTGCTGGGCAGGGCCTTCAGGGGGCTAAGGATGACACCGTTGCCAAACTCGGGGAGGTCCAAGTGGTCAGCAACCTGGGCGAACTGCCAACACTCGACGGCACGGTACACGAGCTCCTGGATGGTGACGGGGCAGAAGTCCGAGGGATTGATGACAGCCCCATCGGGCCAAGTCCAGGAGGTAGCCGACGTAGCTGTGATCCCTACACGTTTGAGGGTGGCCCACAACGCACTGAAAGGGCCCCGAATGGAGGACCACGGGTGCTCAAGATTCAAAAGCCTCTCGCGGGCCTCACGGAGGCCGAAGTCCAGGGCGTCCCTAGGAAGCCAGGAGTGCCACAGAGCGTGGAGGAAGGCCTTCACGGGCAACTACGTGGCCCTGAAAATGGGGTCCAAACGGGGCACAGGAGCCAGTAACAGGGCCAGGGTGCGAGATTTGCCATCCATGCGATGGTCTTGAAGCCTGCCATCAGCACCTCTAAGCACCTCCAACTCCTGCCCGTTAATGCCGGCCACGGCAGACCCATGCAGCACGGAAGACTCCAGAGCACTTCGGGCCATGCGCCCAAGCACGCGGCGACGAGGCTTAGAGCCTCTGAGGATGGACATGCGCTGCCGCCTCTTGCACATGGCCTTGGCGCGGGAGGCGGACGTGGCCTTGCCCCCTCCAGCGAGCCCAGAGGAGAAATCGACACCGAGGTTTCTCTCAGCTCTCACGGGCAGGGGTTGAAGGCTACGGAGCTTCGAAGCGATCGAGGCTCTAACTACAGGCGAGTTCCCGAGCACTCGGGACTTGTCGACGGCGATCCTAAGGTCGGCGGCCTTGAGCTCACTGTGGAGCTTCTTACCCGCACCGACGATGTCATGCACAACTCTCGACTCCGTACCCCATCTCATGAGGTCGAAGTCGTCAACATTGACCGACAGCTGGACCGTCGGGAAAGACGCCTGGACGGCGTCGAGGGGACCTAGCAGCACCAATTGAAGCATACAAGTGGCCAATGTACGGCCTGGTACAACAGTCTGCTCAACATCCAGCAACGAACCAACCTCGCCAGCCACATCGAGCAGCCTCGGAGCACGATAGATCTGCACCAGGAGGTACAATTGCCACATAGGAAAACAGGTGGCCTGCGCGGCCGAGATGAGATGTCGGTGCTGCACCAGCTCGAACGCCTTCTTTAAATCCAAAAGCGACGTCGCACAACTACGATTTTTGAACGTCGAGTGTTCGGACCACGCCGCCTGAATCCACACACAACGTTCCGAGGACTTACCGTGGGTGCCCCGAAAGAACTCACGATAGTTTCTCTCTTGCCACTGCCTGATGAGAGGACGTCTCAGGCGACATTGCACGCGAGCCAAAACGTGGAGCAGCCCCAACGGCCTGAGTCCCCCCACCCGCTTGAGAATAAACACAATGCGGTTCCACATGACAGGCCACTCACGCTCGTGCTCAATGTGTGAGATGATCTCGCACAAGGCTTCCAGCGCAGTAGGCGGCAGCAGCAGCAGGGAGCGGGGCGACACTTGATCGAGACCAGTGCCAGTAGAAGACTTAATGCTTTTAGGAGCACGCACGAGCTCATCAACACTGGGTCGCTCAGGCAGCACTCCAAGCTCAAGCCACTCGAGGGGGGGCTTCGCTTGTCCCACGGACCACCACTTTTTCCACTCAGCCTCAAGGGCCTCGACCGACTCGACCGACGAACAGGGGCGGAGGGTGGGGCGGTCAAGGGCATCGGGTTGCCAGCCGATGGGAAGGGAGGAGCACTTGAACAAAGCCGACATCCCCCCCGAGGAATGCTTGTCAACCCATTTGCTCCACTCCCTGTCCTCGACGTGCGCTGACTGAGCCTGAAGCCTCTTGGCTTCGACGCCCGCCAGCTCTGACAGCGCCTTGGCCGGGAGCAGCGGCAGCAGATCAGCCTGGCGCAACACTGCCGCCCAGGCGGCATACATAGCACTGCTAGGGAGGCGGTGAAAACCTGAAAGCCGATGGGCAGCCGAAACGAGCTGCCGCCCGTGTGTGCCCACAGGATCTCGGGCAAGGTCAGACAAGAGGACACTGACCTTGCGCCACCAACACGCCAACGGGGAGAGCTTGGGAAACCTCGGAGGCCCAGGGCAAGATGGCTTCTTAGAGGAGATCTTCAGAGGCAGGTCCCGACCGACGTACCCATCAGCAAGCTCTCCCGAAATCTGAAAGACATACAGCCACTCGGCCTCCGCCGCCCGAAGGAAACTGTTCCATTTGTCCTGCACAGAGACGTTAGGATCAGAGCACAACGCGGCCACGGGCTCCCACCTACCCTCGACAGGGGGCCCCAGACAACCAATGGGGCGCTCCAGAGGGAACCGTTTGGGCACCTTAACGAACTTAACCTCAGCAACAGGCTCAATGCGTGGGAGAACGAGCCTGACAGGGTAGTGAGGGGAGATGGGGACGTCTTGAACAATTTCAGCCCTGGCCGCACCTGCAATGACCCTCGAGACTGCGAAAAAGTCGATGCACCTCATGGCTGGGCGGCACGTGCCGCCAGCAGGGGCAACGATGACTGCGTCCATGGCATCGACCCATCCAGTCTGCTGCAGATCAGTGTGATGTATATTCCAATCTCCCCCGATCACGAACGCCATGCCAGCTGCCTTGAGGGGCCTGCCGACGCGGCACAAGATGTCCCAGTTAACCTCATTCACCCCGACGGAATGCACCAAATAGAGATTCACTACCAGGAAACCTCCACGAATCATCCCTCGCACATGGTGAATACGGGGACCTGCTGGGCACGTCATCTCCCGCACTGAAGGGAGTGAGCCGAAACTTCTTCTGCGCTGCAACATTGATACCTCCAAGAATGTTCTCCGCATGCTTGCGCGGAATCTTATGCTGGGCAAGGAAGGCATTAAACCCTTGCTCAGTGGAAAGCTTCTCGAGGAAACCTGAGAGCACACGAGCTGCTGGCGGCGGGCCAGCACTGGCCGCAGCAGCCCCTGACCCATCCCGCCCCCGCCCCAAGTCCGAGCCCGTCCCCCCTCCACAAAGCGGGGCAGCAGGCGAGGCACCCGGTGCAAACGGGGACTCAGAAGGAGGTCGGCCGAAGACTGCCAGCGCGGCAGCCTCCGCATCACGAGCGTCGGCTGGGGCAGGTTCAGCACGTGCTTCTCCAGGCGGGGCGTCCTCCATGGCGTTGCCGTCGCCACTGAGGTCGTCCTGTTCGTCAGACTCGTAGCCGTCGTCGGTGGCAGCCTCATCATCAGGGTGAGCAGGAACCAGAAGCGAATCACGCGTCTCCAGCAATGAACGTAGAGAGCGAGCCAAGCCCGCGTCCAAGGACTGGAACTGCATGAGCAGAGCAAACGCGGGGTCGTCGGCCGACAGCGCGGTGCCCGAGGCGTCGACCGCTCCCGCACCCTCAGCAGCACACTGCGCCCATGCCGCTGAGGCCTTGGCGGAGGCGACTCGCTCCTGGCCTTCGAGCGACGAGAGGTTGTCCTTGAGCTTGACGAGCTCCAGGACCTTGCTCTGCACGACGGACTCGACCTTCTCGATCTGCTTGGAGACGTGGGCGATCTGCTTCTTGAGATCGTCCAACAGCGCCTGCGCATGATGCTGAACTGAACGAGGGTCACCAGCAGCCAGGGCACGCTGCGCCACGACTCGAGCACGCTGGGAGGGCGAGAGGAGCCCCTTGCACACCTCGAAATCATCGTTGGACATGCGCACAATCTTGTCAAGCTGCGCGGGCTCGAGCAGCTTGTGCTTGGGCCGAGCAGCGGCTGAGCGAGGCGGCCCGTCAGCCCAGGCACCCTGCGGCCCACGCTGTTGCTGCACAGGAGCAGGCGCAGGAGGGCGTGCAGCACCGCACTTGTAGCAGAACTGCTTCCACGAGAAATTCGTTTTGAAGCCACACTTCTTCTTGGGACAACACCACACCTCATTGCGAGCACCGGCAGTGCGCTCACCCATGCATGTGACTCTGGATATG